CCCACTGTTCATCCTGAGACCAACTAATTACTGCATAAAATGAAATAAGAAAAACATTTGTCAGCTTGTATTGCTGTAGTTGTGAGGACTTGCAGAGTCACCGTCTTCAGTTAATGAGCTCAGAACTCAATCATATCTCCAGTGCTGAGTGATCTCTTAAAGGGCCCTTGTCCTACATCTTTCTTTTTATGTACCAAAAATTGCCCTAATTAATTTTTACGTGACCATTTTTCAACTTCTTTTGATCCCTTAGAATTCAACTGCCTGTTTTTGTTACTGCACCTTTAAGGCTGATGTATTGTCGCTGTCCAAAAAAACCAAGCATCTCCATTTTTTGTGATTTTTAGGTTTCTGCATATTTCGAGCTCAGCAGCTATCCTTTACACTGTGTTAAAATTTCATGATGATTGGACCAAAAGAAATGCTCCAAAATAAAATATATTTACATTAACTTTCATTGAAAGTAAAAGTTTTTGAACCCTCTTGTAAAGTTATCATTTTGGAGATACTTGTTTTTCTTTGGACAGCGACGATGTGTAACCGACTAATATATGTTCTTTCTTCTGATTGGCTACTTCATTCAAAAAACAGTCCATGCAGAAACACTCCTCATAACTTCAGTGTGAATGGGCGGGGCTAAACTACTTTAGGGTGAATAGGTGGGTATTCGTTAATGTGACATCACATAAACAGTGAATTCAAAATTGGCTGTTTTTGCAGGTCAGGTTCTACATACGGACTGTATGGACTGCAGAGTGAATGTTAAGCTTTGAAACATTAACAACGTTAGATCTTTCTTTTTCAAAAAAGCAAACTAAAGCTGTGTCCCAATTCAGGGGCTGCATCCTTCAAAGGATGTGTTCTACGAAGGCTTGTCCTTCACAGGCTGCATAGACCCACAAAGGCTGAACTTAGAATGAGACGGTCTGCTCTGCGGCGGATTTCCTGTTAGTATCACAGCACTGCTGTTACCAGCTTTACTGCTGCATCATGAAACGCTGCTCCGGTCAAGTTCTGAAATGACCCACATGAGCTCATCCTACTCAGTAACGTCACTTGAATGAATCACGTTCATCATCAGCACAAACTAACGAGCAGAACGAGCTTCGCTGAGAAGATAATTAACTCTGATCAGCTCTCAGCTTCATTATTAGAGCGAGACGAAGGAGAAAAAGGTGAGATGAGCTGCTTTTCCACCGTTTACAGGCTTTAACTTCTGTTTGGCGCTGCTGCCATGGTAACGCTGAATGATGGCACAGCTCACATGAACTCTGATCTGAGCGTCACATTAAGGTCGCATGCCCACAAATCGGATACATATCCGATCTAGGACCACATATGAAAGTGACTCAGGTCGGATATGAAAAGATCAGATTTGTGTCCACACAGCCCTGAAAACATCAGATCTGAGTCACATTAGGGCAAAAAATCAGATTTGTGCCACTTCAGCTTGGTAATGTGAACGTAGCCTTAAAGTTCTTTAAAGATGGAGCCAGAAACTTTGATTTTAGTTTTTTTATTTTTTCATTTATTAGAGCTAGAGGTGCTTCTCTCTGTCGGCTCTTTGTTCCCTAAAACGAAATGTTAGCGTAAGTTTAGCTTCAGACCACTTTGGCTTTTTTTTAACATTTGTATCGTTCGCTATTCGACTCAGTTTAAACCCATTACTTACATTTAAAGTGTCTCCTCAGCTGCCGTTCACTGCCGCCATGTTCTCGAATCTCCGCCAGTGAACCTCGGAATATGTTGGCTGGATCGGGTGGATCCTTCGTTGCCATGGAAAAGAAGGACACACTTCTCGGCTGCATATGAAGGAGCCTTCGAAATGGGACAGCCAAGTCACGCTGCTGTGATTCAATTGGCCTCCAAATGCAGCCTCTGAAGGATGCAGCACCTGAACAGGGACACTGCTTAAATTTTCCATGATATGGGCCCTTTAAAGTCTTATTTTTGTGGACAAACGCACTTGAATTAGCTCCCCCTTTGTATAACACAGGCACTACACAGATACAGACATTCACAGGGGTTCCAGATGAACCATCTTACATACTGATTTATTTGTATTTAATTGTTTTTTCGTATTGCTGCTTGAAGAAACTCAAAACTTGAAGAAATGATCACAAAACAACGCATCGGGGTCCATTAGTGGCTGGCAGGGTCCGCCACACCCAGAGCATGTTTTAATGAATTTTAAATGATGGATTTTGCTCTGTATGCTTTTTGCTTGGTTAATGTCTCAGACTGATTGACTTATATTAGAGAGATCCCTCTCTGCCAGTAAGGAAGCAGATGTTTATCCATCCACTTATCTTCCCATTAACTGCCGGACCGACAAACAGAATGAATCCATTGCTGTGAATGTGTACTTTACAGCATTTAATCACTAGTGATACTATTTACCTTAAGTGAAGAAGTTAGAGCTGAGGAGGTGCATCCCACCGGATTGCGGACACCAATAGTTCTAATGTGCTTGAGTTACTCTAAGAACAGTCAGTGAACGTATATATCTGATATAACACTGTCGGGTGGTGGTTCAGTATTAAAGCATGATTAGACAACTAACTGTTTGGTGAAATATTTACGACTAGTGGTGGGATTTGGTAGAAAACCATAAAATTCCAAAAAAAAAATCAAGTTTATGTTGTGTTACATGTCTTTTTATCAGCTCCACTGACCATATAGTTTCACTCTGTAGTTCTACAGTTACAGACTGTAGTCCATCTGTTTCTCTGCATACTCTGTTACCCTGTTCTTCAATGGTCAGGACCCCCACAGAGCAGGTATTATTTGGGTGGTGGGTCATTCTCAGCACTGCAGTGACACTGACGTGGTGGTGGTGTGTTAATGTGTGTTGTGCTGGTACGAGTGGATCAGACACAGCAGTGCTGCTGGAGTTTTAAACACCTGAGTGTCACTGCTGGACTGAGAACCAAAAACGTCCAGCCGACAGCGTTCTGTGACCACTGGTGAAGGACTAGAGGATGACCAACACAAACTGTGCAGCAGCAGATGAGCTATCGTCTCTGACTTTACATCTACAAGGTGGACTGACAAGGTAGGAAGGTCTAATAGAGTGGACAGTGAGTGGACACAGTGTTAAAAACTCCAGCAGCACTGCTGTGTCTGATCCACTCGCACCAGCGCAACACACACTAACACACCACCACCACGTCAGTACTGAGAATGATCCACTACCCAAATAATACCTGCTCTGTGGGGGTCCTGACCATTAAAGAACAGGGTAACAAAGTATGCAGAGAAACAACAGTCTGTAATTGCAGGACTACAAAGTGCTCCTATGTGGTCAGAGGAGCTGATACATCGACAATGAGTGTAGAAACAAGGTAGGTGAAGTGGCCGGTCAATGTATATTATTGGTTAAACAGCTCCCTCTAGCGGCCGTCATAATTAACGCACTCTTTAGCGAATCACCTTTCATTAATGTGCGTTTATAATCTCAGCAGGACTGTGAACGTAACTTTATCTACAACAACAAAGCTGTACTGATGAGCACTGAGGTTCAGTCAAAGAAATGTAAACAGTGAGTCTAAGTTAGAAATAAGTCTGTGTTTTAAGAAGACAGCACTAGAAAAGCCACAACGAAAGTACCGGACAACTGAACCTCAAATTTAATATTTTTAATACTTTGATATGCTATAAATAAAAATACATAAACTGGTTGAGAGGTATGCTTGTAGCTGATACATCTCTGGAAAACAGTCCACACAGCTCGTCCACATTCAATAGAGTAGAAGGCAGAAGAGTTTACCGCTCTACTGCTGTACTGTTCTACTGCTGTACTGTTCTCTGCTGTACTGCTCTACTGCTGTACCGCTCTACTGCTGCACCACCTGCTCCTTCATTTTAAAGTGGATGGTTTGTTTTGGGTAAAAACATACAGCGGTCTTAAAAAAGCAGCATGTGAAAAAAACACTGATTTAAAAATATTTAACGGTGGTTTAATTTATATCAAATTCTACTATTTCAATATATTAATCTGTATAATTGCAATAATATTGATAATGAGGGGAAAACAGTAATAATAATGTTTTAGAAGTACAGGCAGGTCTCCTCCTCCCCCCACACTGGCTTTGCACCTGCATGGTGGAGTTTAGGAGTCCTGCAATGTGGCCTGAGTAAAATTCCGTACTGCTGGGTCTCGGGCGCGTTTCATTTCTGTAGTGCCCTTAGTGACTTTCCCTCGTCCCCTTCACCTTTTCTAATAGTGCACATATTAACCCTCACTAATCAAAACAGTTAGAACTTTAGTGTGCATATTGCGAACTAGTTAGAACACAAGTGCACAATATAACCCTTGCTAGGCAAACTAGTTAGAACACAAGTGCACAATATAACCCTTGCTAGGCAAACTAGTTAGAACACAAGTGCGCAGAGTAACACTCACTAAGTGATCTAGTATGATCACAAGTATGCATATTAACACTCGCTGAGCGAACTAGTTAAAACCCAAGTGTGCCTATCGCAAACTTTAGAACACAAGTGTGCATATTTACACTCATTAAGCAAACTAGTTAGTGATAGAACACAAGTGCACATGTTAGCACTCACTAAGCAAACTAGTTAGAACACAAGTGTGCATATTCACATTTGCTAAGTGAATTAGTAAGAACAGAAGCGCACATATTAACACTCACTAAGCAAACTGGGAAGAACACAAGTGCGCATTAACACTCGCTAAGTAAACTTATTAGAACTTGCTAAGTGAACTAATAAGGGCATAAGTGCGCATTAACACTAAGTGAACTAGTAAGAACAGAAGAGCGCATTAACACTAAGTGAACTAGTAAGAACAGAAGAGCGCATTAACACTCGCTAAGCAAACTAGTTAGAACACAAGTGTATCTATTTACACTCATTAAGTAAACTAGTTAGAACACAAGTGCACATATTAACACTCGCTAAGTGAACTAGTAGACCACAAGTGGATATTGGAACGCTCCCTGGGCGTCCTCGCTCACTGCCTGAGTAAAACCCCCGGTCCCTCTAGCCATCCCGTGCGAGGCCAGCTGTCAGTGTACCCGACTTTCATTCATTTTCCTCGGCGCTGTTAGTTTTCCTCGCCGCTTCAATCATGTTGGAGGAGGCGAGCGAAGTGTTCGACAACATGTTTAAGTCCTCTTTCCCGCTGACTTTGACGTTTATAGTGTTTTTACCGGCCGTTCTGATCCTCGTCTCTCCGCTTCCAGCAGAGGCGGCGCACGAGTTCACGGTTTACCGAATGCAGCAGTACGACCTGCAGGGGCAAAACTACGGTACGAACCGGCGGCACCACATCACGGCATATTCGGTTAAATGTGACGGTTAATATTGAAATCGCGGCGCAGTCCGTTTGGGCGGATACAACTCGCTGAGAAGCGGCTTTCCCGAGCTAACGCTAGCCTTTAGATAGCTAACCTGGCTAAGCTAACACGGCTGGTTTCAAAGAGAGGTGGTTCTTTAAGGGTTCTGTGGTGAAGAGAGTGGTTTTGTTTAGCTCTATAGCTGCAAAACTGTTTCGTGCTTAAATGGTTCTTTGTGTGGTGAAATGGTTCTTCAGATTGATGTGTGTTTTCGAAAATGGTTCTGTTTAGCACCACATATAGTTAGTTCTAGTTAACATTGCTATTACTAGGATGTCAAGTTTGTGCCAGTAGAAGAACCCTTATTTAGTGCTATATAGCTAGAACCTTTTTCAGAAAGGTTCCATATACAACACATTCTCCATAGTCATAGTATGAAGAACTATTACACCAGGGAAAGCATGAAAATGGTTCTCCGAGTGTTCCTGGTTCTATATAGAACTGTTGCCTGTACGAAAGAACTTTTTAGTGAAAGGAGAACCTTTTTTATTATTGTATACTAGAGAAGTTCAGATCTTCTGGGAGGAATTTGGGTTTTTCATGTTTAGACACATTGAATTGGTCTCCTCAAGGCTTTTGGTGTTAAAGGGGAATTGCACCCATTTTTTCAAAATTTCAGCATATTTCAGTGTTTGAGATGTAATCAGAGTCGTTCTGAGTGGTTTGGTGTGAAATGGTTCAGATTTCTTTACAGTGGTGGTGATAGGAACCAGGGGTCACCATGACTACAACACAAATATATATATATATATATATATATTTTATTTACCAAAACCACCAGTGAACCTACACATGTTTTAATATATAATGTTGATGTAAAAATGTTGATCAAGCTAAAAAATAAGTTTTTTTTGGGGGGTTATTTGGCCTCGAAACACTCTGTACCATGAATGGTTAAAAACAAATGGATTCAAATACATTTTTGAGTCAAAATGTCATCACAAAACAATACCTCAGACATCAGGCAGTGAATTCATAACCATTTATGTAATATCTTTCTGTGAGGGAGCTTTTAGAGGTGGACGTCTGGTTCCTATCACCACCACTGTGAACAATTCTGGCAAGCTTCTCTAGAAAGGAGCATTTCACACCAAACCACTCTGAATGACTTTGTTTATATCTTAACTGTTTAATTATATAGAATTTTGGAAAAATCAGTGGAGTTCCCCTTTAAACTGAATTGAAACCTTATTAAATGAGGTAGAGTTCTGTACTCTGCTGTAATAGAGGCTCAAACCCCATTGAGTCCTGTTATCAGTCTCTGTAGTTCAGCCTGGTTTACGCTGCTTTTGACCCTTTGCAGAAATACCTTATTAATAAATATCTGTTATTATAATAAATAATAATAAAGCATTGGGGCTGTATTTGGAACTTAACTTGGTGATTTCAACTTGTTTTTTATGAGTTTTGTCCAATAAAAACGGTTCTAAAAAACAGCTATTCTTTGCTGTGTTGTGTGTTCTGACAGTTGTTTAATCCTCTGGTTATGGTGCAGAACTGTGATTAATAGAAAGTGAGCTCGGTTCTGTTTCTTTGTGATGTGTGTTGCTCTTTCCAAACCAATGTATGTCGTGTTGTCATGTGATCTTCTGTTGATATTCCTCTCCAACCTCCCAGACTGAAATTAATTATATTCTTTTTTTTTAAGGTTCAAGAAATGCGATTTTGAACACGGAAGCTCGTACTGTGGAGGCGGAGGTGCTGAGCCGTCGCTGTGTGATGATGCGACTAGCTGACTTCTCTTATGAAAAATATCAGAAAGCTCTTCGGCAGTCTGCCGGAGCAGTCGTCATCATCCTCCCTAAGAACATGTCCACTATGCCACAGGACATCGTACAGGTAAAAAACTCACTGACCATCTTGGATCTGGCGGGGTGTTTGCAGTTCACGGGGAATTCCACCAGTTTTTTTTTCAGAACTTCTGCGAAGTTCAGTTATTGTAGATGTTTTTGAAGTCATTCAGAGTGATTTGATGGTTCATTGTAGAGAAACTTACTGACTCAGATTCCTTTACAGTGGTGGTGATAGGAACCGGGGGTCGGAGCAACAAATATAGCCATTTTATTTACTATCCAAAACCACCAGTGAACCTACGTGTCTTCTGAGTTTTTATATATGTTGATGATGGTAAAACAGTGGTAAATCTGGAAAAATTAATTTCTCTTTGGGGACTGTTTTGCTTACAATGCCCTTCATGCACCCTTTCACCATGAATGAATTTTAAAATTACATTTTAGGCCAAAATCTTATCTCAGAACTACTGTAAAACAATGTCTCGGGCGTCATGCAGCATATTCATAATTATTCCATGTAATATCTTTCTGTGAGGGAGCTTTTAGAGGTGGACGTCTGGTTCCTGTCACTTCAGAGTCAGAACTGTGAACAGTTCTGACTCTGAACAGTTCTAGTTTTTCTAGAATTATAGATGTTAGCAATTTAATTGTCTCAAAATTTTGAAAAATTGGTGGAATTCCCCTTTAAATAGGCAACACTTTTTGATGAAGGGAAAATTAGATAAATACATCCCAGTGTGACACAGCACATCCAGTGGCATTACAGTCTTGCATATTTGAGAACAGGACTTGTGGATGCTCTGATTTGTGTAAATGTTTAAACTACAGATGACCCATCTGTTTCAGTGGGTTTTGGGCCAATATCAGCCGAAAATTCTGGATGGGATATGGGAAGGAACGAAGGAATGAATGTAGTCTAATCCTGTAACCAATCTGTCCTGAAACAGCGTCACTCACACTGAGTGATGTGATGTTTTTAGCTGTGTAGTTCTTTCTGTGGGGTTAATAGAGTAATTGAGTGGTTTCAACATCATAGATTACTTTTAGATCATCTTAAGTGAAATGCCTCAATTAAAGAGTCCATATCCTGTGTCTTTCGTGTGTTTTATTAATTCTTTCTTTCCTGAGGTCATCTTACGACATTTGTGTGGTTTAATGTGCCAAAAACAGTCATCATTCACTTACACATGACCATTTTCCAACATTTTGCTATCCTTGTTAGGTTAAGATCATATATATATATATGTGTGTGTGTGTGTGTGTGTGTGTGTGTGTGTGTTTGTGTATAATTCACCATGTGTGGGCGGCGGGCGGTGCTAAACTGCTGTAGGCTGAGTAGGCAGATATATATAATTGCATTATTTTTAGTGACGTCCCAAAAACAGTGAGAATTCTGAACAGGCTGGTTTTGCAGCTTAGTTTGCATATATGGACTGTATGGACTGAGGAGTGAATGGTATGTTTTGAAATTTGCACAATGTTTACATTCTACAGTAAAAAAGGTGTGGCAGGTTCAGTTTTCTGTGATTTGAGCCCTTTAAAGGTAGCTCTTCTTAAACATCAGTAACATTTACAGAAAAAATGTTGGTTCTGTCTCAGATAGTGAGATGGTGCTTTCTTTCATTGTGTCCAGTCTTCTGAGTTCAGTGTCTTGTTTTTGTGTAGCAGTTTATGGAGCTGGAGCCGGAGCTTCTGGCCACAGAGACCATCGTTCCTGTCTACTTTGCGATGGAGGATGATGAACTGCTGTCCATATACACGCAGACCCAGGTGTCGTCCTCCTCTCAGGGGTCTTCATCTGCGGCTGAAGGTACATGAGCTTGAACCTCTAGTAATAAGCTTTTTAAATCCTGAAGCACTGAAAGACATAAACATTGATGCGAGCTGATAAAGTGCTTGATGTAAACTAGAGGAGGTAAAATTAAAAATCTTTGATTTTTGTTCACTGGTTTACGATTGTCTTCAAAAAATGTCCTGTTTTAATATAGGCATTATTTTTAAGTGCGCACAGGAACACGTTGGCGTTGTTTGAACTCCACACTGTGGAGTGAACACTTCGTAATACCTGCAGTAATTGAGGTCTTACTGATGAAAACCGTATGTGTCCTCACCTGGTGATAAACGGATGTTGCTCTGTAAGCTGTTTCTGGTGTGAATTTTTTTAGCCCAATCCCATTTCACCTCTCGCCCCTACCACTTAGCCCTTACCCCTCTGTTTGGCACGTTCACGTCCTGATTCTTGTTGAGATAGAGGGGTAGGGCGAAGTGATAGGGCTACATGGCCCTCCAAACGGAGGCTTTTCAGAGACAGTATTGTATTGTCTTAGTTTTATGTCATTTCAGTGTATTATGGTAGTAGTAGCTGAGTCTCGGTACCTTAAATGGTGTCAGAACTGCTGCTCCGTTTAAGGTGGAATGGGAAAATTCAAACAGGAATCTGGCGAATATCTGCCTTCAGCTTCATATTGCTGAAGAATTAGGGGTGGGTGATTAATAAATAATTGCCCCCCTCTGCTATCACTGCAGACTGGCAGGGTCGCCTACTGGCAGGTTCGTAGCTGTTAATGAAGTGATGCTCTTTATTTGAGGGTCCCATTTCATACAAAAGATTTCAATCACTACCCCTTGTAACTCAGTTCCAAGGGGCAAGGTGACACTCAATAACAAGGGGTCGAGGTACAAATAAGAAATGGGATTGGACCTTAATCTAATGTGTGTCTTTTGTTCACCAGTGCTGCTGCACTCAGCCACCGCCAATGGGTTTCAGATGGTGACGAGTGGTGCTCAGAGTAAAGCTGTGAGCGACTGGGCCATCACCAGCCTAGAGGTGAGCTCTCGTCTGTTTCTGTGTCCTGTATCAGGGGTTGCCCTCCCCTACTGCTGAAGGAGAGCTGAGCATAACATCATTTAATTTGATAGTGTTTTAATGTCAAGTGCAGAATGTCAAAAATTTGTTTTTACATTAAAATATTAGTAAATGATCCAGTTTAAAAAACAGCACTTCTTCTAACAAAGAGCTTCTAACAAAAACTCTTCAGACTGTGACCAGGTAGATTTTTCCACATTCTAGTAAAAAAAAGGTTATTTAAATGATGTCGTGGACTTTTAAAATTGTAGATTAGATAGAAAAATTGGGGATGCCCAGTGAGATCGGAATCAGCTGATGTTTGCTTAAATGTTGGCATCGGACAGTTGTTTGGATTTGACCAATATTTCAAACTGATGTTTGATGATGTATTTATTGTAGTCTGGATGAGCAAAACATTTATACATTTTATATAACATTTTATTCATTTTACTGCAATTTTAGCACTACAGACATCTCTTTAATGTGAATCCAGATTTATTTAGTCCCAATTTTCAGATATGTACATGGAAAAATATTTGATGATGTACAACCCCATTCCCAAAAAAGTTGGGACACTGGGCGAAATGTAAGTAAAAACGAAATGCAATTATGTGCAAATAATTTAAACCCTATATTTCATTGAACAAATCAAATGTTGAAACTAAAAACGTTATTGTTTTTTGAAAAATATATGCCCATTTTGAAATTGATGCCAACAACACGTTCCAAAAAAGTTGGGACGGGGGAAACAAACGGCTGGTAAAGTTTTGTAATATTTGTAATGTAAAATTTTTCAGGCTCAAAATTAGATTTTTTTTTTTGTTTGTTTTGTTTTTCAGTTTTGACATTTGATTTTTTCCTTTAAAAATATGGTTTACATGTTTTGCACATCATTGCGTCTTATTTTTATTTACGTTCTACACAGCGTCCCAACTTTTTTGGGAATGGGCTTGTATTTTGTACTCTGGAAGAGCAGCTGGGTTACTGCACTAAAATATCTGCATTTTATTCATTTTACTACAGAAATAAATTTTATATTTCTCTGTAATGTGATGAAGGTTTTTGTAGAAGATATGCACATGGAAAAATATGAAAAACCTGCATCAGCCTACAATTCCCATTTCGGTGCATCCTTATAAAAAGCTGATTTGTTGATAAGTTTGGTCTTTTTTGGGCCATATTGCCCCTCAACACTGAAGCCAGTCCACAGCTTAATATTTTAAAATGTTATCAGTGTTAGATCTCCATTCTGGAACGTCTTGATGGTGTAAATGAAGGACACACGCTCATGTGATGTTAATGATGTTTCGAGGGAAATCTGAGTTACTGCTAATTAATCGGCATTGTTGGGCCATTAAAAAAGCCTTATATAAATAAGACTTTAAAATAATGTTCTGGGTCTGAGTGAGAGTGAAGTCGTGTGCCCATACAGAATAATAGCAACGATGATGAGAGTAAACAAGCAGGTTAAGCTGAAAGGGTTTTAGTTGTGGGGATGCACATAAAGTCCAAGAACTTAATCAGTAAACGTAATGAGTGCATTATAGATTTTATGACTGTGAGACTTTGTTCCCCTCAGGCTTTAGTGGGTCAGATCAGCAGAGAGAACTGTTGTGTTAAAGGTGTAGAGTTCAAGGTTTTCATGTTCAAAACACATTAGAAAGTCATGCATCTCAAATATGTAATAGAAAATACTAGCTTTGTCAGTTAGAGGTCTAAATCGGTCACCTCACCTTTATTATATTATGTTTCTGTAGGAAATAACTGATAAATATGGCTGGGTATCATTTGAAAATGTTCGATACGATACTTTCAATTCGATACCGATACCATAACGATACTTTTTTCGATACCTTTTTTCTAATTGTAACGGAAAAAATACAAAAAAGGAATAGATGTTATTATGATTATCTTTTTCTTCTGCATACCAGGCAGATAATCGTGAGTTTGACGCCATATCTCTGGCTGGAGGCTGATACTTGGAATTTAATGCTTTTGTCATCTCTCTGAAGAAATAAAAACACAGAGAAAAATTTATTTACAAAGCACAAACACGTTATTGTAACCACTGTTATAGGTTCGCCATAGAGGGATAAAACAAATGATCTACCCTGCGTATCCCACCTAAACCAGCAGTCGAAAAGGGCTGCAATCCTTTACCAGTAAAACTGGTTACTGCTCTGTGGTGTTCTTCTCTCCTCAGCTGACATCCTTAGCTTTTCTGCTGCAGTGAAAGGGGCTGTTTCTCCGTGGGCAGCCGCATTAGCACTGGTAGAACTGGTAGAACTGGCCCCAGCACTGTCAAAGCCCTCACCTCCAACACGAAAACGATGTGCAAGTTAATAGGGCTTCTTTATGAAACTTATGAGACATGAATTATAACAACATTACAGATGTGTTCATACGGCAGCTGAATTGAAGCCAGCTGGCTGGCTAACGTATTAGTTTTATGCTAACGTTAGATGAATCCTAACTGGCTTTCAACGCTGACAAATGGCAGAGTAACCAGCGTTAGTTTTCTCTGGCAAAGCGAGAAAAGGTGCACAGTAAACTGTTAACTAGCTTGAGGATATTTTATCACTGGAAACACTGGTGTCTGTGTGTGGTTGTAATATGTTTAGCCCAGATTCTCCGGCGGCGACGTAGTGCTGATCTTCATGCAGTCAAAAATTCTGCAGATTTCTTGATGGAGATTAATTCCATGTGTAATCAGATAAATAGACAGATACTTACTTTATAGATCCCGAAGCAAAATTTGGCAAAAAATTAATCAAATGTCATCAGATTTGACGTATTACCCGTTTTGGAAGTCACTATCTTAAGGCACTTGTTGCACCTGGAACTGTTCTTAGTAACCTTTTCGAAATAGAGCCAGACTTTCGACCTCTTGGCCATGTTTATCTAGCGGTGTTCTAACTGCGTTTCTGTGTGTCAGGGAGCCACTCGCGGTTTTTCTTTTCCTTTTGTTTTTTTTTTTGCATTAGTAGTAAGGTCACTCCACTAATCCCTCGTGATTCGCGTTCCATGCAAAATATCGAAAATAGGCACCAATGTTTTTGAGGTTTTTTGGTACTCGGTAGTACAGAGATGTTTCGGTCGGTGCCTTTTTAGTATCGAATTTCGGTACCCAGCCCTAGTTATGAATACAGCGAGAAGCTATTTACCCAGTAATGGAATATATTAGAGATGGCATATTGGTATTGGACTGCTATCAACAGAAAACACTGGCTGGGTGAAAAAAGAATGAATGTGATCAAATTCTGTAACAAACCTGTCCTGAAACAGCATTAAGAGAGTGACTGAGTAGGTATCATAGACTACTTTTAGATCATAATCTTAATGACAAATAGCCCATTTTAAAGCAGCTTTAAAGAAAAAAATATTATACTCAAGATTTTAGTATCGGTATCAGAAGTGGAAAAAAGTGGTATCTCTTATTTATAAGCAGCTTAAACAAAAGTTAGTTTTGAACTATCTTTTGGTGAATTTGACTCTCTGCATTACCTGTTACTGAGTATTTCTGATGTTTACCATTCTCTCCTGTGTTCTCAGGGAAGGCTAGCGGGAGTAGGAGGAGAGGATTTGCCTACTATTGTGGTAGTTGCTCACTACGACTCCTTTGGAGTGGCTCCGGTAAGGAAGTGGACTCAGTGGCTGCGTTCACATTACCAGGCTGAAGTGGCACAAATCTGATTTTTTGCCCTAATGTGACTCAGATCTGATGTTTTCAGGGCTGTGTGAACTCACAAATCTGATCTTTTCAAATCCGACCTGAGTCACTTTCATATGTGGTCCTAGATCAGATGCGTATCCAATTTGTGGCCATGTGACCTTATTGTGACGCTCAGATCAGAATTCATGTGCTTTTTTTCCACTGCGCTGCGCCATCATTCAGTGTTACCATGGCAGCAGCGCCGAACAGAAGTTAAAGCCTGTAAACGTTTCACGTTTCACCTTTTTCTTCTTCGTCTCGCTCTAATAATGAAGCTGAGAGCTGATCAGAGTTAATTATCTTCTCAGCGAAGCTCGTTCTGCTCGTTAGTTTGTGCTGATGATGCACGTGATTCATTCACGTGACGTTACTGAGTAGGATGAGCTCATGAGGGTCATTTCAGAACGTCAGTTCGTTCATATTAATGAGAGATATGAATCACTTACCTAAACCATTGTGAACCATCCTATTAGAGAGATTGGATTTGAGCAAAAAATCGGATTTGAGCAACGAGGCTTGTAATGTGAACGTAGCTAATCATTCATATTTTGTACTGAGTCATTCAGATTATATTGGTCTTCATACAGTTGGTGAACCTAATTTATGGTTCTTAACATGTATTAATTCTGTTTTAGATATGTTTTAGATCAGTGGTGCAGTGATCATTAGATTTATAGTGACAGTAATGACAATAATATGAATGTGTGATCACAGTGGTTGTCGTACGGTGCTGACTCTAACGGCAGTGGAGTGGCCGTGCTGCTCGAGCTTGCCCGACTCTTCTCCAGACTCTACTCCCACAAAAGGACTCAGGCTGGGTACAAAAGTCAAATTTAGATTATAATAGTTTATAATGATTGAAATTGATTGAAATTGATTAAGGTTGATTATGATGCAGCGTTCGTGTCTAAGTGAGCTCTGTTGTTTTTGTAGGTATAACCTGCTGTTTTTCCTTTCGGGAGGAGGAAAGTTTAACTATCAGGGAACCAAACGCTGGTTGGAGGATAATCTAGACCACACAGGTACTTTCTGCACTTTATTTCTTTTTGAATATCTTTAATTCATCTTGTCCTCAATGTGTTCTTACTCGGTCTTCGCTTTTGATTTGCTCCTATACTGTAAAGCACTGATATGTCTATATTTTAAATCAGTAAAATGTTATTTAATACATACATTATTTCATTGTTATTATTCTGACACAGTATCTTGCATGTCTTATTGCTGCATTAGAGTCCAGTCTCCTGCAGGACAATGTGGCGTTTGTGTTGTGTCTGGACACGTTGGGTAACGGAGACAGTCTTCACCTGCACGTCTCTAAACCACCTAAAGAAGGCAGCCCACAGCACGCTCTGCTCAAAGAGCTTCAGACGGTAACGTACAATTCACTGCCTTTGTTTGTGAAAGCAGTGGGTAGAGAAACAAAAGGATAAATATAATTTATTAAAACTTAATTTTCTGTTATTATAACCTGGAATTTCTGTTTACTGTGATTGCAAAGCCTTTCTGTTAACATTAACATTCTCTTAGTAGTGCAAGCATTGGTAGAAATGTCCAGTATTTGGATACTCTACTAGAATACCATGTTATATAGTACTATACAACAGTTAGTTCCAGCCACGCAAGCTGATTGGTTAAGTGTTTGTTCACAAACACTGGATCACTCAACTGAGACACCGTTGCTAAGCAACGACTTTGACAGCTTTAGGAGACGCTCAAGCCATTTGAACATTTTTACTTCTTATTTTGCCACAAACAGAAAATGTACACTTTTAAGATCACATTTGACCGACAGCCGATTTGGTCAGACTCTGAAGATGAGACGACACTAAATTCCCAAACTGTCACCACCACTGAGCAGCTTTTCAGTCGGCAGCTGTGACAGAAGAACAGCTGAACAACCTGGAATCAGCCAGAAATGAACCCAACACCATTCGCCAAACTAAATGGGCTGTAAGATGCTTTACAGACTGGCTGGAACAAAACAACATTAATACTGATCTGGCAAAAACTGACAAAACTGAGCTGAACCTGATATTGCGGCAGTTTTATGGCTCAGTCTGAACTTCAAAAGGCGAGGCTTACAGCAGACTGAGCAGCGAGTGGGCGGAGCTCGTTACTCTGACGTAGCAACGAGCTGCTTGTTAAGGAACTATAATTTGGCGGAAGGAACTGCGAACATTAAAACATTAAACGCCGCGTTCACGGCCCAGTTTATTAATTTATTACTTTATTTAACTGTTGTATAAAAGCAGTAGAACACTGGAGATTGTGTATTATCACGAATAACATCATGATGTTATTTCCCTATAACACACTCCCTCTCGGGTTCTATTTGAATCATTTTCCAGATGCCAGATTAAGCCTTACAATGGAATATACTGCAGTGCAGCCATTTTTTTCCATTGAAAAACATTTTTAATCTAGGTTTAGACTTAAAACAATAGTTTGGCCAAAAATCACAGTTTCCCCGCCACTCTCACCAGATTTACTCGATCAGCCGTCAAGACACATTTGGTGTCTGAACTTGGCTTCTTTAGTTTTGCACTGTAGCTATGAGGCAGGGTACAATGGAAGCTTATATCCTACCAATTGTCAGCTTTACTAAGTAATCTCAAATAGACTTGTTCGGGTTGTTTCTGACACAGTGTGACACATTGTAGTCCCTAAAATTTGACAAAAATAGGTCCAATAGCCAAAAACAGTAGTAGCAGCCATCTAGGAGCATGAATATTCGTCCATTTTTAGAGATAACAGTGTGTAATACAGTGTCAGAAATCACATAAGCAATAATGTCAGATACAGAACAAAGTAACCATAAACCATGGCTTTAATCTGGGAAGCTGCGAATCACATCCTCCCAATATCAGCATCTCACATCCCTTGTATTCTCCCTATAAGGTTGTCTCTGAGCAGTACCCGGATGTGAAGTTCTCCATGGTGCACAAGAAGATTAACCTGGCGGACGATACTCTGGCCTGGGAGCACGAGCGCTTCGGTATCCGCCGCCTGCCAGCCTTCACTCTGTCTCACCTGGAGAGCCACCGCAGTGCCGCGAGAAACTCCATCATGGACATGCGGTCAGTGTCCTCCTCTCTGGATGGGGCGGGAGAGGCCACCGCTGGGTGGGTGACTACTGGTGCTCTCTCTGTGTGTCACCCGTCATAGTGCTGTTCATCCCTCCACCCACCCTTCACCCCATCATTAAACACCGTGTTTCACAGGGTTCAGTTCCGCAGCGCTCTCGTTAACAGTGCTGGGCTTCGTCTGTTACAGGCCTCACGTCGATCTTAAGAAGCTCAGTCGGAACACCAAGCTGATCGCAGAGGCTCTGGCGAGGGTCATCTACAACTTGACCGAGAAGGTGAGTTTGCAGCAAGAGTGTGGAGCTGTGCAGGATTTCTAACTTACAGTGAGGAAAGCTCAAATTAGTTGCATTCACTCAGTATAAGTGGTTGAAAATCATTTGTAGGTTAACTTACCCTTTATTAATCCCTCAACGGGGAAATTCACCTCCGCATTTAACCCATCCGTGCAGTGAAACACCATACACACTAGTGAACACACACACACTAGGGGGCATGAGTGCAGTTGCCCAGAGCAGCCCTATCCACAGAGCAGTTGGGGGTTAGTTGCCTTGCTCAAGTGCACTTCAGTCATGTCCTGTCAGTTCAGGGGAGCGAACCATTGACCTTCCAGTCACAAAGCTGGTTCCCTAACCTCCAGCCCACGACTGCCCCCATCATTCCAGTGCTTTTTTTTGAGGAATACACAACAATGTCGGAATCATATCGGGATTAGCAGATAATTGCTCTAAAAAATTTTCAGTGTCGGGCAGATGTTTAGAATTGCTCTATATTTCAAACTGATATTCGATCATGTATTTATTGTTTTCTGAAACAGCAGGTGGATCTAGTCACAATTTCTGCATCTTGGAAATGTTTGTGTCAGCATTGGCAGATGTGTGCATGAAAAATATATCGGCATAGGCCCACAATTCACCTAGCGGGGCATTATTAGCACTTTCCAGCAAACTGGTATCATTCCGCTGACCACTGGTTCTTAATTAACAAGCTTTACACTAAGCATAAGTCATTGCCAGTAATAACATATCTTTGATACAATGTACGGAGCTTTGCTTTTTTTTCTATACTTTGCATTTGTGTACAACTGCCTGCCTAGACATGGTCATAATTTATTAAGGAAATGAAGTTTAATCTCTGTTGTGTTTAATTGAATGCAGTAGGTTAACACTGATCCATTTGTCCATAATTTAGCACAATGTTGTCTAGCTCTGGTCAGTTTTTGTGGATAAATGGGAGTCTGATGGAATACTTGAGTAACAGTATTGTGTGGATCCCACAGGGAACCAATGGAGATTTGGAGATCTTTACTCAGCAGATGGTGAGTGCACAACTCTGATCATGCCAGGCTTTGACTTTGGTTTAAGCACATGGCATCATAGTGGCATTTGGGGTGTTTTAGTTTTAGCATTACAAGAAGTTAAAGTGTCATTTTAAAATACTGCATGGCATCATTATGAATATACAGTTGTTGTTGTTGTTATTATTGTAAGAGTTCCGAAACACTTTGTTAAACCCTTATAAAGCTCATTAGTTATACTTTGTGTAACCAACACATACAAAATCACATATTTATGGTTTTGCTGTCAGCAGGTACAGGAGGAGCAGCTGGCCTCACTGGTGGACTGGCTGACCACCCAGCCTCGTGCTGCTCAGCTGGTGGACAAGGACAGTACTGTGGTCAGCACCCTGGAATACTACCTGGGACGCTACTTGAAGGATGTCAAGAGGCATTTTGTCAGAGCTGACAAGAGGTACAGTCAACACAGACAACACCTTTCTGTTCTGTTCTGATCTGCCACTCCTTTGATATGTGTATAATATTATTGATCATAGTAATAACAGTAATAATAGTAAGTTTAATTTGTATAGTGCCTTTTTCAAACCCAGCGTACTTCACAACAGCAGTGCTAAAGAAACACTACACAGGAACACAGATATTAAAAATAAGTACACTAAATTAATAAGCAAAAAAAGTGGTAAGGTAGCAAGTAGAACAGAGAAGTTTTAGGTTTTCAAAGAAGGAAATGTGGAAATATCACAAAGACTTTGGGGAAGTGAGTTGCATAATTTGGGAGCTATTGCCCTAAAAGATTTCCTGCCCATAGAATGTTGTCTGACAGTAAGCAGACAAGTTTTGACCGAGGTCAGGGTACGAGCAGGGATACATTGGAGAAGTAACTGTGCCAAGACCTGAGAGGCAAGACTGCGCAAGAGCACATGTACTTTATGCTTAATTTATTTTTTGTTTTTCTTCTAATATGTCAAATTCAGCAACTAAACAGTAATCGTGCATTAAAATGTGCAGAAGTGTGTTTTCTGTACGTGCAACTTATTTTCACTTAGAAAACCAACAGCATGTCATTTGACCCCAGGCACCCAAACTTTTTCATGCAACTGTATGTAAGTGTTTTATAATAAGTGCAATAAGAAACGGGATTTGACCAAGTCATGAATTAGTGTTGCGACATCCAGCATTAAGTGAAGGACAAGGACAGGCAGTGTTTCGTAGGTGAAAAAATGCAGTCTTCACGCGTTTTGCAGCGTTAATGTAAATATGGTGTTACGACTCAGAGGTGACATCTGGCATTTTATTTCTAGGGACCTCAGATGTATGAATAGTTCCTGACATGTTATACACTTTTTTGTTTGTATGTTTTAGGGATCCAGAGTTTGTCTTCTATGATCAGCTCAAACAAACTATGAATGCTTACAGGTGAGTACTGAGCTCAGAGACTGTTGCTAATGTTCAGTGTCATCGTAGAGGCCACACCTTCTAAAAGTTTGTAACTAAAATCACTTCCAAAACTGTTTCAGAGTAAAACCAGCTATCTTTGACCTGCTGCTGGCGCTGTGCATAGCTGCCTACCTTGGAGTGGTATATTTGGCTGTCCAGGTGAGGGGAAATTCTCATTATGGCCATAAAGATCTTAATGCTGGGATCAGACTACATGATGTTTTTCTCTTTCATGGTGGTCTCTGTCAGATTAGGCAATTATAGAGCCATAAATTCTTGCTGTGTCTTGGTTGGGAGGCTGGTGACGCTATAAGTTTGACACCGACCAGTCATCGTTCATATCCTTGCGCAAGTTCGTGGGTTGTTGGGGAGGGTCAAGAAACTGACAGGCATGGTTACAGAAGCGCTGTATGTGATGCTGGAGGTTTTGCGATTCAAAAAGAAAAAGAAAGGCAGGAAAAAACGACTGTGGAGCCGTTCCTGGGTGTCAGTGACAGTATAGGCTGTCTATCCTTCAGAGAACTTGAGGTTACCAACACTTATCTTTTTAGACTGTTATAGTACTCCCTTTAGGAAACATCAGAAAAGGAAGGGTTACTGTTGTCACAGTTCAATGAACCTTTCCTCCGTCTTGTTGTTTCACCTGACAGCAACAGCAGCGCCCCTCTTTCTCTTCACCATGTTTACATACACAGGCCGGAGAGTAGCCACGTTTACATGCAGCCTGATAATCAATTAATAATCCGAATAATAGTTCAATTGGAATAGAATACGTCCATGTAAACACCTCAATTGGATACAGTGTCTGTCCGACTGATCGAGGTGGGTAATCCTGTAAATAATCTGTTAAATAGAAGAATAATAACCGTGTAAACGCCTGTATCTGATTACATTCCCTATCGGAAAGTTTAAGTCCGTTCTGATCATGTTCGTCACGTCATAGTGAAAGTTTATACCGTTCAACATGGCAGAGCAGAAACTGGTCTGCAGAGGAGACGAAGTTCATGCTCTGATCTTTAAAAGACGGCGGTGGGACGGACGTCCAGCTTATGTGTCTCAGAACACGACGTCTTCCTCTCGGCCTTCTTTAATGAGGACATGTGAAGGACGTTTTCCTGAGTCTGACATCATTTTAAAGTAATTAAAAACACAAGCGCTGCTCACTGCTGCTCATCTCACTCTGACTGGACACAGGTGATGATAGTCGTGGTAACGTCTACACTAAGTGGTTCTCTACGCATGCACAATTTTTGGATCTGATTACTTGTAGTGAGCATGTAAACAGATTTTCCATCAGATTGTTGAGTAGAGTGAGAATAAACACCTCAGTCTTAATCTATAATTGGAATGTATTCAATTGGATTGGCAAACATCTTTGCATGTAAACATAGACAGTGCTCCATCATTCTATTGGTTAACGTCAAGGGACATGTTGTAGATGTCAAACTAGGCAGGAAAACACATATAGGGACATATTTATGACATCATGCAAAATATTCCGACATACTAGACTTTGTTGGGTTTTTTAATTACGTCACACTACAAGACCTGTTCCTTGTTCCTGACGCTCATATTCAGGCCCGATGCCTTGATATTTGTTGGCTATGACAAAACTGTAAAAATCTAGCTGTTTTGTGTCGTCCGATCCTGGCATAAGAAAATGCCTCGACTGGCCAAAATTAGTGGTTCTTAATTACCTGCACGTAACACGGCTAAGCTTATGAACCTGAGTAATAATGGAAGCTTTTCAACTGTACTGAACAATAACAAATCATGCAAACCTTTTAAAGATTTCAAAATATTTTTGCAGGAAAAAAAAAAACAAGCATTTGAAAAGAGATTTTTAAAAAACACTGTCCAAAAAAGCACATAAACAGCTGTGTCCATCAGGCTCACTGCTGATTAATCGAGGAGGTGTATTTAACTCTGCTTTCAGCCGTAACACCCCCCATTGAACACAACCCTCAAAACTGAGCAGTGTGTTCAGATTATATGGGATGTTGGACCATTGACCAAAGCCTTATTGTTTTATTAACCTCACTGCTTTCTGTCCCTGCAGCATTTCGGGGTTCTGTACAGTGTCCTCCGCCGGGTCACGGCACCACGAGCCAAGCAGCACTAAACAGCTCCAACTCTCCTCATCCCTGCAATATGAGGGTCTCTCTGGAGTCCCATGGTGGAGCCAAGAGTGTGTTCTTCTCTCAAATCTGCTAATCTCTTTCTTTCTTTTTCTTTTTTTTTCCCGGAAGTGGAACTTGATTTTCCCTGCCAAGTGTGTCGTTCACCGCTCCTCCACTGGCCGGCGCTGGTCAGGAGCAGCCTTTTAAAGTCTTCCTTTTCTCTCTAACACTGCCTCACTCCCACATCCCACAGTCTAACGCTAAAGTGTTCCTCTCAGCAGTAGGGCTTGCATGATCTCTGCTAAGCAACAGTGGGTCGTCTTCTTGGGCAGCTAAGTCAAAGTGGGCCAAATCACAGCTGGTGAAGTTCAAGTGTTTACTAGCTGGAGAAAGCTGTTCATCAAGCTTGTTCGGTTAAGAGACAGCTCAGGTCTGATGCTAGTGTAATTCCTCATGTCCAGGATTCCCTCTTTGGCCTTGAATAGTACAGATGACAAGTTTCTAGCTCTGATGTAATTGGACATGCACAATCTGTAATATCAGTGGCTTGAAAAATATTAAGTTACATGATTTTGACATTCGTTTTTTTTCCCCTTAGAATGTTGTCTTAATAAACGAAGAACCAGAGTATTAATTTCCTTTCCTTCTAACAACATAATCCCTTGACCATTTCATTACACGTTTCCACAATCCTCAATAGCCATAATTTTGTCTGTTTCATCTGAAATGAACAATATACCTCTTCCATACTTTCCCCAGTTCCATTCTGCGTGAGAGCCAGTCACTTTCAAGACACACCATTAAGTGAGAGCGAAACCGTTGGTGGTACAAGTCTTTCCTGTTATTTATGGAAGCGAATGCTTCACTTTGCACTGATTTTAAATGGTTCCTTTGGTTTTTCCGAGATTAACGCATCTACGTTTTATGAAGTGTGTGAGCCTGATCTATGAAAACTTGACTCTTGCACCAAACAAAATAAATCACTAAAAATAAAAGACAAATTGAAAAATAAACTTCTTTGTTGAAATACATCTCTGACACAGCAGTTTTCATTTAGGATTTTTATTTAATGGGAAAACATGATAAAATAACACTGGCTCAACGGAATTATTAAAAATCGCTCCATTACAAAATGAGACAGTGTTCATCATACTGAAGTGGTCAGATTCAAATCAGAACAAAACATGAATTTCTCAAGTTTTTCCCCCCCTGAATTCATGGTCTGAGGAGAAATGTAAAAATCTTGTTAAAATGAACACAATACTTACATTTTTGTCCGTGTTTTTAAGAAATTAATAGAAATTCCTTTAATTTCCGAATGAACAATAAAAATAACATTAATAAATTACAGTGCAATTTGCTATAAATACTTGTGTGACAGCCCCATATTTAACATAATTTATATTATTCCTAGACACATCAAGCCCATGTCTCAGAAATTAACACATCAGTAGTTGAGAGTTCCCTTTTGGCACATTCTGACAACATTTAACACTGACCAGACTGAACTAAAATACATTTACCTGAACACAAACTGAAAAAGGAGAACAAAAACATTCACAATTTTTCATTAGAGTCTGTGGAGTGAATGGTCTGTGGGGCTGTTTCGTCTTGAAGCATCTTTCTTTGGTCATCTTAATGAGCAGCGATATTCAGCACAGTATCTAAATTTGTGCTGATCGGACGTGGATGACCTGTGACCTCATGAAACTGGCTTCTAGCTCGTTCACGTTTAGCTGGTTGAAAATTCAATTCAACTTTTTGATGCTTTCTAAGAGCTTTGTGTTAGTAACACTGTCCTTGTTCAGTTCCAGCTCCCAACACACCTGAGACAGGTTACACGTTCTAGCTACCTGGGAACAGAATGAAAATGTGGGCTGGATTGGGTGTTCTCGAGGATTGGGTTGGCCATGTCTGGTCGCAAGTTCTTTTCTTCATTATTAACTAAGCTCAGAAAGAAAATAGGTGCTTGGGCAAAAACTTGCTGTGCCCGTTAAAACACAAGAATCCTACGGAGAGCTCTTCTGGCGTCACCTGCTGCCATGATCACAGGATTTTGATTACGTCATTGTTTCCCGAATTGTGTAGTTACATCACAATGACAATTTAGTAAATTTTGAAAGGTAATTACTTCCCAATTTTATAATAAAGTCTCTTAATAAGTACTAAACAGTCTGGTACTATCCGTCAACAGTTTTTGTGCCATATGGTGCAGCATTCACATGAATGTGGAGCTTGAAGGGAGCTTATCCACCTTTTGGACCATGGCAGTCAACTTTGTATTTACTAACATATATGAAGAAAGAGGAGACAGAGACACCAAGAGTTACAGAGTTCTCAGGAAAAAAATTCACAAAAAAAAAAAAAAACAGCAGCGATTTAAAAAACAAACAAAAAAAAACCCAAATCTAACAAAGGTCTCGATCAGCTGAAGCTGGTGTTGAGAATGGACGCCGTGTCCCTAAACGATTAACTCCTCTCATCAACATTTGCGGCCTGTTCCGGCATGTTCTGACACTCTTCTCAGCAGAAATACATTTTTGATGTTGCATTTCATGTTTGATCTGTTTTGAGTGGTCTAAAATAGTGGATGCCAGTCTTGGCTATTCAGTGCGCTGCACATTTTTGTGTTTTCCCTTATGTATCTGATGCATCTCATTAATTAATTAACAAGCTTCCCATGTGCTAGGAGTGTTAGGCTGCACCCAGAAATCACAGAAATCACTGATTCTTCTTACCGATCCAGCTCCTCTCTTCCATGAGCTGGAAACTGGGCTTCGGGACACCGTCCTGCTGGATGTCTAAATACTGGACGAGCTAAGCTTTAAACAGCTTAAAACTATGTATTGTTTGAGTTTAAAGAATTTCAGGAATATTAGGGGTGTGTTTTCAATTGAACACTGTCACAGGCTTATGCTGCGTTTGGGAGCTCATCAGAAGGTAATATATACCAGATGGTTAACTAATAAATACAATTTTACCTTGTTCAGGCGGGTATTTTGCGAAGCAGGATTTTTCAGTTTGGCTAGACGACTTAAGCCCAATGTCAAGCCTGTCCAATAAGAGACGAGCTAAGGTAGGGCTGAAAGATCAATAGTTTTTTATATCGAAATCACAGTATAAGACAGTGCAGTTTTCAAATTGCAAAAGCTGCCATTAAAAAAAAACTATAACCTACTTTATCAAAAAAGTTGCCTTAAGTTTTAAGTGGGGAAATTTAACCTGATAACACAGAGCTTGTGAACTGCCTGTAGATAAGTTAGATCATTTAGAAGCAACCAAACCTCCATGTGTTGTGACATCACTACCACAACTTACTGGCAGTCTGGCACATTACATTCAGGGGTGAACCTTAATTTACAGAAAATAACTGCAATTTAAATTGCAGTCGCAATTAGTCAGAAATTCCCAATTAGATATTTTCCCCAAATCCTTCAGCCCAAGGCTGAGAAACATTTCTATTGGATAATCCTGAACTTTGGGCTTAAGTTATCTGGGTAACTGAGTAATCTTGCTTTGTGAAATATGCCCCGGGGTTCTAGTTGAAAGATACACCCAAGCATGGAGGGCGTGAGAATAGGTGCCCTGCTTTTACTGCGCTATATTCAACATCACTCAGATTTCTGCACATCAGGTATATTTTTTACTCATTCATCACTTTCCAGTTTCCAGCACCCCTAGAATTAGTTCACCAGTAGTTAATATGAAGTTTAATGCCGCAGTTCTTTCCCTCATTACTGTCTGTTCTCTGTTCCTCCTGCTCCTGCCCCCCATGTTCTTCCAGGGTAGGACAGGCACAATAGCAATAGATTCTAACGCAGCCTTAGAGTAGAATAAACACAAAAACGTGCAGAGGTTGGGGTCCCTAGGAGTGGGGTTGAAAACCGCTTATCCAGAAGGATATTAGATACTTTTCATATACCAAACCATCCCAATCTCATGCAATCCTGAATATCATATATGCGCATAAATATTGGATTTCTGATCTACAGAAGAATTTCATGACAACTTGTTCGGATTGTTTTCCGTTAAAATACTGCTTTAAAGGTTTTTCTATATCCGTATTAATTTTGATCAGCAATATAACATTCAGCCTCCTGTTGCTGTGGCTGCATTTAGTCATGCCTTCATTTCAGTGCAACAACAGATGCAGATTAAAAAAGGAAATTACACTTCATTGTCTGTACAGCGACACAGGCAACAGCTTCTACTGATTTTATCCTCATGGCAAAAGTGTTTTTTTCCCCTTTAGACAAACCTCTTCTTCAGTCACTTTGTGGCTTTATAAATCAGGTCAGGCTGTTAGAAAGTCTCTGGAAAGTCTCTGAAAATCAGTACACGGAATGAAAATAGCCCTAACAAATCCATGCACTCAGGTTCAGAGTGCCTCGAGAATCTCCCTTTGTAATACATTAAGCCCTCTGATTAAAAGAAAAAACAAGACAAACAAACAAATACAAAGCCACTGTGGCAAAGCTCTGGACCACTAACCTCATCATGAACGCCTCTGTCCTCAAAAAGACATTTGTCAGGCCTACACAGATCCCTCCTTTTCTCAAATTCTTCACTTTTCTTCATTTTATCATATTGTTATTAAAGACAGATGTGAGAGGACGTTCACTGCACTTCTATCTGTTGTCTTAAACCATGTTTAATACAAAGATCACCTGAAATAACATTCACAGTGTTATAATAATAGAAACAAAAGCAATAAAATGAGAATTGTCGAACAAAAACTTGATCACAGAAAAGGCAGACCTGCAGGATCATAGCTGCTGGACCTTGGAGTGTCCGAGTAAAACTAGGTCACCTGTGCTCCTTGCAGTAAATGTAAGTACCAGCAGGTGGCAGTACTGAGGCTGTTATAGATGCTTCTTCTTGTTGATTCCATTCTGTACACGTTTCCTAGAGAGATAGTAAGAAAAAGATAGGGTTAGAGACGAGGCGATGGCTCAGATGCCGTGTAACCCTGTTGAATATCACCTCCAAGGCCAGAGCAATAAAGAAATCCCAGTAATCAGGTCTATATAAGTCAGTGCTTTGATCCCTATCTCTGTGTGCTACAGTTCACAGTCTATCAGTCCAAGCTGCCTATAGTGCTGAGATGGAGCAAGGCTATCAGCAATCACACCTCAGCCCCTCAGAGCTACAGTGCTGACAGAAAGCACAGGATCACGTGTGTGTTAAGGGACTCTGAACAGCTTCTAAACGTGCTTTGAAAGTTGCTGTGCTTGCAACAATTTTGCCTGATAAATGCTCAAATTCCACTAATCAGCTCATGTTCCTGATCAGAGCCGCCTCAAAGTTGTCACATGGATAGTTTTGATGACATTCATGCTATTTTGCATTGTTTATTTCAGTATATTATCTACACCCTTAGAAAAATGGTTCTTCAAGGGTTCATTAGTAAAGGTAATGGTAATACATAGAAATGTTAACATACAAAGAACCATTTGTATGCATAAATAGTTCGTCTCTACAATGGAAACACAATGTATATAGTTCCTAAAAAAGCCTGGTTAAAAATGCCCATATGGAAAATCTATTTATCAAATATATTTTTGCAATGTGTGAAAATATCCCAACGATTTATTTGTTGAATATATTTTTAAAATTCACTTTTTTATATTTGTTATTATATTTTTTCAATTGTAAGTAGGTTTGATAAAGGTTACAGATACAGAAAAAAAGAATATACATGAAATGAATGAACGGTTCTGACTGCTGTGTTTTGCTTTGTACTTTGCAGTACCCATGTACGTATGAGCACATACGTAAGAGCAAGAGAAATTTGGCTATTTTCATACATTTTCAAAGATATTTTAGATTTATATTTACATACATTTATTTTTGTATGGTATAGATATTATATTTGGTTAATATAATACAATATGGGTCAGCATGGTGGCGGGGGGTAGGGCTGTTGACTAACAGCAAGAAGGGCTTGGGTTCGATTCCCGGCCAGACGACCAGGGTCCTTTCTATGTGGAGTTTGCATGTTCTCCCCGTGTCTGCGTGGGTTTCCTCCCACAGTCCAAAGACGGTCAGGTCAACTGGACATGCTAAATTGCCCCTAGGTATGAATGTGTGAGTGAATGTGTATGTCTGTCTGTCTGTCAGTGTGTTGGACTGGCGACCTGCCCAGGGTGTTTCTTGCCTTCTGCCCAACAACTGCTGGAATAGGCTCCAGCTCCCCCCGCAACCCAGAAAGATAAGCGGCTTAAGAAATGTGTATGTGTGTAATATAGCAATATATTCTGAAATACATTTTAGTGTTTGGAATGTAATTCGGCATGTACCGGCATGTATTTGACATGTATTTAAAAAATATGAAAATATCTGTCCATATTTTTTCCATATGGGCGGCTCCAGCACCAAAAAGAGTTCCTTTTGTTAGAAGTCAAACAACTTTTTTTGATATAGCACCCTTTTTGCTGGGAGGGAGCTATATGTGGAAAAACAGATACTTAAACAATCAGAGCACTTTAATTCCAGATAACAGCACAATTGTACAGACCTTACAGGACACGCAGCATTTACTTTCAGGACAACTGAACGTTATCGTCACTAAATTCAGCTGCGACAGTGAGAACAGGCTATTCTAAATCAGTAAGCTGATTGGCACATTAGGGAAGTGTCTAACCTCTACATATAAATGGATGCCAGGACTGTTTTAGCAGTCACAGACTTCATTAAGGCCAAAGGTGATTTTAAGGGGCTAACAAGCTAATGCATCTAATCATTACACGACTCAGAAGTGCTTTGACAAAGTACGGAACACCTCAGAAACAGGCCAGAACAAGACGTTTCATAGTTATATTGGTTCACCCAATACCTCTGAACTACAGCTAACATTCTCCACTTTAACCTCCAAGACATTTGTTTATCTAAAATCAAATGTGGTGTAAAGATTCAAAACAACAAAACGTGTCCTTTAAGTTCATCGTAAGTTACTTACGTAAAATGTAATTTGAATATTCCATGACAGACAGGTACATTATGGTATTCTAGGTGTAATACCCCAGCACTCAAAGGACTGGATTTTTGGAACCCAGCCATTTTCAATGCAAATATGCTCATCATTGGTTTGCATGTCAGATGGCCTCTATAATCAGGCCTGAAGGCTACAATAGCAAACCATATTTTCTAATTTGACTGAAGGACGATTTAAATGCCCCCAGTAGATCTGGATCTGCTTCATTTACTTTACTTTAGATCCTCCCCACTAAGTTGTGATGGACTTCTCAATCCACATTTTTGTTCAATTCCAGCTCCAAATACACTTGTGTCAGGCCTGCTCACCTGGCTCAAGTGTGCTGAGAACAGGATGCTAAAAACAGAACACAAATACAACCTGACAGGGGTTGGAAATGCTTAAGTTCACAATTCACAAAGCTCCTAAAAATGAATTTGGGAGGAATCACTGTGTGTCAACCTCACCCTTCTCCAGAGCCCTGATGGCCATTGTCATCCCTTTTGGCTTTATGGACTTTATCGTCTTCCTCGTACTCGCGCACATCAGTGACTTCGTTCATCTGCCCGGTTATAACTTTCACCACAAACAGTACAATGAACTGCAAAACACAAGTGAGTTTAGGTTAAATAATAATGTTCTCTCTCCCTCTCTCTCTCTTTCTCTCTCTCTCTCTCTCACACACGCTCACATGCAAACAGTGTCTCTGCACCATAACTCCACAAAACACTTCTTCAAAAGCATAACTTGCAACAAGAGAACTCTTTGCTAGTAAAGGCAAACCTGTCTCATGTTGTTAACAACATGGCTAACTATAGCCTGGAACACATCCTGAATCTCAAGGACTTTCAATTTCCCTTGTGGTCAGTTATTTATATTTGACTACCCCTGCTTTTGCTCGGACACTGCCTGGCACTGACTGAGTGGTTTGTATATGAGCATCACTGACTAACAAGTTGGCAAATGAATCCTGTTTCGATTTCTTCAATTGATGTGTTCCCTGTTTTAACCCTTGTGAGGTGTTCAGTTCTGTGGAACCCATTCTCAGTGTTTTCCAAAAGAAAATATTATGTGATTTATTATTATTTCAACCTCAGATTCTTGGACTTTGCTCATTTTCTGTGAAGAACATATAAAATAACCCATTTTCAGTGCCTTCACACTGTTCATAAAAGTGTGGAGGTGCTGTGTCCTTCATTCTGTTCTCCTCCTACGTGGCCTGCTGTTAGTGTGTGTGTCTGTGTGTGTATGTGTTTGTATGTGTGTGTGTGTGTGTGTGTGTGTGTGAGGTGACAACATGGGTTGGCTGCTGACTGGCTACAGCTGCTAAAGGAGAACCCTACACTGGACACTTGTGATATTTTAAACATTTTTACATAAATTGTTATGACTGTATTGATTTAAAATAAACAATAATGTGGTGGGTCCACCAGACTACTGAGTAACAAACACATCAACACACACAAGGGTTAAATATTGCCATTAAGTGAACTGTAGAAGACCATAACCAGTACATGCCAAATGATCAAGCCTAAAAACGGCAAACAAATGGCTCTCCATTTGGTCAGAGCCAACCTTTGCGCAAAAAAGTTTGCACTAACCGGTCTACGTCAGTTATCTTTGCATCATGCAATTTTCTATGCTGGCAACACGGCGGAACTATGAAGCAAGAGCTTGAGCAATATAAATATAAAGACACAGTTTCTGCACAGACGTCCTTACCAGGAACCAGTAGACGTTCATGAGGAGCAGGGCGAACAGCAGGGTGTTGAAAAAAAAGTAGAAAGGGATGTTGGGAACGGACTGCAAGCTGGTGATGCAGGAAGCATACAGCACTTTAAGGGGAAACCAATATAATCGGAACCAGAACCTGTAGTGGAGAGGGAACAGGGCTAACTGAGCAACTAGAATCTGCAGCGGGGGTTGGAAAGAGCAAACTAGCCTCATGTGGCGATCAGAAGTGCTCAGTATAAATTTAAATGACATATTGATCAAAACCTTTGACCTGACATGGTGTGTATGGGTCTCACCAGGTAATGCTGAAGCTCACAGAGCCCATATTAGATAGGATGTCGTTTAACAGGTAGTAGCTGCCTCCGCGGTTCTTGAAGTAGACGTTGAGTTTGGTGAACTCCAGCTGAATGTCATTGATGTCATGGAGAAACAGAACCAGAATTCCTATGTTGTGGTATCTTAAGAGGAACAACAAACCCCAGTCAGTCACAAAGCACCAAACTCACCAGCTAATCAGAAAATAACGGTGTAGTCAAATTGTATTGCCCTCAAAAAGCTCTTCTGCCTCCAGCATCACTTGTGAGGACTACAATTTTAATGGCAGCTAACTAACTTGCTAAATGGCACACAGTTCAAAAGAACCCATTTGGCTACAGAAGACTGAGCTTTTTCAGTAACAATATTTCAAGGAACTGTGTAATGACTTCTTGTAATGGGAAAACAATGATTTGCATTTCTTTTCTGACCTGAATGCGTAGGAGAAGGTGATCAACGCCAGGGTGATGACATGATGAAGCAGCATGACCTTGGAGTCTTTCCTCCACGCATCCATGTACAGTGTGGCGTAAATGGAGTGCCCGTAGAAGCTCCCTTGGATGAGATAAGCGATGGCGATGTCCGTGGACACAGGCATCCCACTCTTCCAGTCTACACAGAAAGAACTTATTAATTCATTTGCTAATATATTTATTTATAAATACATAATCAGCTCTTATGGATATTTGACTTTCAGCAAAATCATCATATTTGATCCTGGCTTTAACAGAAACTCTCCAGGGCTTATCAACATTAACAACTGTTAGTGGAATGTTTTGTGAAGATGACGAAAGTGTATCTCCTCAGGGGAAGCTGAAAAGACATTAGTGTAATGCATGTGATGTTACTGTGCTTAATGTTTATTGATCGGATGCTTCTCTAACTTTCAAAGCCAACAGCAGGAACACGGTGCTTTCAAATAAGAACCTTCCTCGTACACTGCACCAACAGCAAATCAATAGTACCTGATAGAATACCTGCCACTCTTATGTAATGTCATTTATTATTGCAGTGAGGGCCTTTGCAATACTGATGATTCAAGGCATGCACATAATCCAACAAATAGAAATTATTATTGTATTATTGTATTAAAATTATATATTGGTCAAAATACCACAGGCCAGTTTTTTAGGTTCCTGAGTTCACCAACATGTTCTACTATAGTGCAAGGCATATTGTAATGTAATACATAATGTCAGGGTTGTGCAGCCTAGACGTAAGCATGTCAATGCTATAAGAATCTTAAACATAACAGTTTCTTCATATATATTCACAATGTAAAACTACAATAATACCATTCCAGTGTCAGACTTTTTACAGTCAACTGATTCATAATTACTGTTGTATGAAGAAGGTGACTTGCCATAACTTGTATTGAACTTTGCACAACTGTGCAGTTTCTATTGTGTGGATATTTTGTGTACTGTGAGACGTCAGTGCGCTTTTCATGAAACAGTGACACAATACAAACTTCAAAGTAATGCTTACGGTAAAACACAGATGGAGGGTCCTGGAAGAAGGTGTAGTTGGAGAAGAAAAGAAGATAGGTGCTGTAGGACCACGACATTGTGTAGAAGACGAACTTCCAAGCACTTTCTGGCATCTTTTCCACATCTTTGGGCTGGAGACGACACCACCATGCAATAGGCTACAAAAAAACAACAAGCACATTATTAGTAATTAATATTAAATGGTCTAGCATTTATCAGACACTGTAATGTTAAATGCACTCTTTAGTGCATGTAAGAATATTTTCATAACCAAGAAGATGTTCGTATCACTGTGGATTACAGGAAGAAACAGAACGTAAAAACTCCAGTGCAGGTTTTTGAACAGTCGATATCTGTTATAGAATCTTTCACATTTTTGGGAACATTTTCATTAGCGATTCGTTGAAGTGAAACATTCATTCTGATCATATTATTAAACATTAAAAACAACTAAAAAAATGCAAAGTAAGAAGAGATCTATTGATTAAATGTTATTTGTCCATTATCGAGATTGTTCTCACGTCATCTATTACAGGGTGGTATGGAAATACAGATATCCAGACTCATAATGCAAAGTATTGTCAGTAAAGATAATTGGAATATCGCTTCCTTCAGTTAATTCTGTTTACATTCAATATAAAAATAATTACAGATTCTTCTCATCCAGTGAACCATCTTTTCCAACCACTTCCTTCTGAGAGGCAGTACATATCCATAAAAATTAAAGACAGCCTGCTTCAAGAACAGATTTTTTGCTACTGGGACAGGGTCACTAGACTCTGAGTAGTGTATGTTATTACAGTCTGTCTGTAAGATTTCCAGCTTTTGTAAGAATGCACAGATGAAATTACTGTGTAATTTTTCATGTTTTCCTATACCAATGGAGTATGTTGTTTATTGTGTTGTATGTTATTTACTGTGTGTGTTCTGGACATTCACAGTTTTGTTCTGAACCACTATGCATTTAATACAGACTGTACAAGCCTATGATATGCTATAAACAGCCAACTGCCAAGCAATACCATTATAACAGGTTCTGAAAACTGATCTCAGATCAGAGTAAATGGACACTATCCACCAAATAACCAAAACTCAGCATGCAGTGACGCAGAGGCAGGTCATTCAGGATATGGAATATTATGTGTTTGCTCAGTTCATAAAAGTCCAGTTCAATTCCGCTTATACTTCTGCATTGTATGCAGATGAGGAAAAAAACAGGAAGTCAATGTCTCAACCACTTTCACACATGTTAGGCTTAGATAACTGTGCTGTTCCTGGGCAAATCTTCAAGATCAAGGTGACTTATGTGCCCCCCTACCCCACCCCACTCCAACAGCACACAGGCGTGGGTGGATGCATGTACAGGCCGCTACCAGAAACGATACCTTTGCTCTTATCTCTTCACATGACAGACTATCTGACCTGCTCAGGGCAACACGTAGACACCCAAGCTGATGGCCCGTGTAATCAGAGATGGAAGTGAAAGGCTTTGTTTGCTGCAATGTCTTTATCTACAAGTGTACCCTATCTAGTTTCACCCGATCTCCACTTTCTCTTGTCCTTTAGATGCAATGATGAGCGCTGTGCAGACTCAAAAGTGGCCAAGCCAAATATGCAGGACACCACCAAGCTACACTGTACCATGACATGTTACCACTCTCTCTAATTTCCCCTTGAGGATTGATAAAATACATCAATCTGACTGTCTGTCAACCCATCTAGCTCTCTTCTTAGAAATCCTATGGCTGAGAGGTGGCCCTCTTCACAATAGCGGTGACTCTGATCGGATGAGATGGCTGGGTGCTGTCTTTGATTGGCTTAGATGAGCAGGTGTAGAGCTTCAACTGAGTCTAAAACTTTGGTTCTAATCCAAATATAGCCCAACAACATTTCAACCTGACCCACAGAACCAAGTTTAGAACCCAAAACTGACTTGAGCCCGACTAAATTTTGCCCGAATCCAACTCAAAATTGCTGTTTGATTCGTGTTCATGGTTACTGCCACAGAAACTGAGAGCTGCTCACAGCTTTTCTCCAGTGTACACATTAGGACATTGTCAACCTCGCCACCAACAACATGAATCACTTCAAAGAATCAAGTTAAAAACTTGACAAAAATTTGGAAGAAGAACAGGGAGGGAAACTAAAGGTGCACCAAATACAGCCTAAAATTTGTTTAATATGGTACATTAGTTATGAAAAACCCAAAATGTGAACCCAACTCAAGCCTAACAATTGTTTGAGAAATTATCTCAGAACCAACATGAATCGTGAGGTTCCACTGGGTTGTATGAATACAATACTTTTTGAAAATTTGGAAGCATGCAAAGTCTGCAATCGCCCTTTTCATTAATATAAAAGCTACTGAAATCTACTGAAGATACGTAACACATAATATGGTTTTACTAAGACGCCACTACTCTACTTTATAGATTTCACCTGATCAGTAGGAAGCTGTAAAAAAATTAAGTGTGATTCCAAACTTTTTGAAGCCTTAAGGGGGTTCTGTCTGTGATGTCAGGCTCTGGCTGAATGGGCTTCATGCTGCCTCTGACTGACTGCAAGTGCCTACTCTTTGTGAGTCATGCACGCTTAAAATAGCAGGGTTTCCACAAGGAATCTGTGTCTCCCCATCCCTCCCCACAGGGGTTATTTATAGAGTCCAGCTGTCAGCAGTGCGTTCTTTCTCCTCATCACTCACTCCAGCCCCAGCTCTATCGGTCTGCTCACTGCCACCCAAACGCGGTTTGCCGTTGCTGCTGCCATGGGATACAGCACTGCGGGAAATCTCCACACTAGCACACAGCACTGCCACAGTAAGCTGGGACTACCCAGCAGCCATTTATCATGTTTGACGGATTACAACTGTGGAAGAAAAGCCACAGGTGACATGTTTAAAACAGCTATGCATATGGGGAGCACTCTCAGGGTAACTCAACCATGGCTACAATCTTTAGGTCCTTAGGACAAAGCCAGTATGACATTTTGAATGATGGGATGTGCCGGCTGAAGGTCACCTATTCAGGCAGAAAGAGGTCTAACAGTATTTGGTCAACTCAGAATACAAAACGGATTCTCACACTCAGAGATGAAGAGTTCCAATAAGCAACTGAGGAACTGCAAACAAAAATTCAAGACCAAATAGCTGTGCGTAGGGACGGCTATGGCAATACTACATCCATCATTTAAATCAGGGCCAGAAATGTTCTTTTGGACGCTTGCCACTGTCTCGATTTGAACACGTAATCTCTTGACAAAAGGGCAAAAACTGACGATATCCACAATATGCTGCGAAAAGCTCAACGTTTTGTAATTTATTGTGATAATGAAAGCACATTATAACCATATAAAACTGCTCATCAGTGTAATGCCGGCCTTACACCAAACGACTTTTCATGCGATTTCACTGTCGCAGACAAATATCCATGTCGGAAAAAAATCATGAGTCTTGTTAGAGTCACGTCGCACTCGTGTCATCTCGATCGTTTGGTGTAAGGTAGTCAAGATGGCGGTCTCAAGTCAGTCTTTTTCTCGTCTTGACGCTGCGACAAAATCAACCATGTTTAATGTTATTGTAAGTTTTAAGTCTTGGCTCATGCAAAAAGTGAGGTGCCAGGGGCGTGTGCGAGTGCTTGCGGGCGAGCGCAGGCGCGCGGTGCGATAGTAAGGGGGAGTGAGAGTGACAGAGAGAGAGAGAGAGAGAGAGAGAGAGAGAGAGAGAGCGCATGCATGAGTGCCTGAAATCTCTGTAAAAACAGAAAATCTGCTCCACTTCAATACAATAATCATATTAACTTAAAATGTAAACTGTTAATATTAATATTATTAATATTTCACGTTCACTGAGCCTTTAACACGTAAGGAAAAGTACAAAGGGCTTTAAGAATGCCATTATTGAAGAATCATCAATGTTTTTTTTCTGTTTTCTGTTACAGTGGTTTCTTATTTTGTTTGTTTGATTTTTATGGTTTAGTTCATGACACCCAATCAACAATGCTGAATCACTGCATGTTGTGTGGATGTGTAAATCTTTATAACAAATTAAAATAGTAACTGCACATTTTACAGGTTAATTAAAATACTGGGTGATGATCTGCCAGAACATACAGTTCTATAGTGAACTAATCTGAGCCCCAGATCTTAACGCACCCAGCCAGCATATCTTCCCATCTGTACCACTATAAAGTGCAAGGAAAAGTGTTTATCTGCTCATTAATTTCCACCAGGTGCATGATGGGAAATAATCTCAAAAATCTAGTTACAGTCTTGTAAATAGTGACACTGCAAGATTCCTAGTCTTTGCAAAATCATAGTCTGTGACTAAAAAACATGACACTGTCTTTAGGTGTGAGAGGGTGTCAGACTTTAGTCTTTTCAAAGTCTTTTCAAAGTCTTCTAGTGTATGGTTAGCATAAGGATACTGATTTCAAATCAGTTCTTGCTGTTCACGTTCCAGTGAATCCTGATATATGGAAAGGAGTCAATCTTAAATCAAACTTCTTGCTCTGAGATGTTTCATATATATGGACAAGGGAATTTAATCCTCTGAGGTCTGAGGGCATTTTCTCAATTTGCACATATCATCTTAATTACTCCTTTACATATAACATGATACCCATATGCTTCATATCAAAAAGCTCAGTCATCTTTATCACTACTTTCCAAAACCTTTGCAGCAACTTGAGCAGATGTAAACTTTTTGCATGCCATTTCACACAAGTCTCCGATGTGGACTGAACGAAGAAGGAAGAGTTTAGGTGCTTGTCAGTCCTTAGTGATTTCCTGAGCGTCCATTGGTCAGTTTCACACAAAATGTAGGCAGACACACAATTCCACCAATTAAAGTCAGATGACGTGCATCTCAGACCCTCTTCATAGCCTCATAACTCCAGATGTGAGTCATGTACCATTTCACGAAAATATGGACAAGAAGAGGTGACTCTACAGATTCAGGAAATGTTTGCACCGTATTTCTACACTGTATTATCGTAAAGATAAAGAAACATCTATAGAAACATCAAGAATCATCATATTTGGAACGCCGTGGGTGGGGGGCCTCAATGCAGGACTGGAGGCAGTGCCCGGGAGTGAGGCCACATTATTTAGCCTCAAGCTCAAATCCAGACAATCGAGAGCAACGAGCTCTCGTTCCCTCTCT